GACAATAGAAAGAGACAGGTACACACAGATTTAATTCACTAATTAAAAGCTAGACTTACAATCAGACTTAAAAGTGAGACTATTAATCCAAGCTTTAAGGCAGGATTTGGAAGTGCTAACTTGAAATTCTGATGTGGGCTGGGAGACCATTCCAGAGTCTTGGTGCAACAGAAAGGAAAGCAGGGTCTCCCAGTGTTTGGAGCCTCATATTGGGAACTGGGGGAAGGGCCCATAGTGCCAAAACCATGTGTACATTTGGTGTCTCGGGATGAACAGTTCACTGACGTAGTCAGGGGCCAAACCATTCAAGCAGTTAAGATGCTGTGTTTTGGATTTTATACCAAATTCCCGGAGTTCAGGGTACCTGAAAAAGGTCATTTATGCTAGTGGATTTTAATTTTGGCTGAATTTAATAGTGGTATACTGTATATCCTACAGACATACAGTAGATATTAAAAAAGAGAGCTGCTTCCCTAACGGGTTCATAAAATCTCAATAGCGCTTGGATCAGAAAAATAAATGATAGCATTAGAAAGCACCTACAGCTTGGTACCAAGTGGTTTTTGCACCTTTAAAAGAAAGAAAGGAAAAAAAGGGCCATTGTTTTGTAAAGGCCTGCAATGTTTGGTATGAATTAACTGCCTTATTGACAGTTTCAGCAGGATATTGGATGTGTCCCTGATACGAGTCAAAATTTACCACAGGAACCCTGCCTGCAGCTCAGGAGCTGTCCTTCGTTATCTTCAAGACACCTTGACATGAAGTGGAAAAAATTCATCAGGTGAGAAGTACAAAAAATAACTGGCATTTACAACATTCAAAATACATTCAAAAAAAAAACATCTCCACATCGGTTTTGAAAGATAGGTGCAAGTTTATTTGCATGGAGTCACAGTTACTTATTCTAACCTGCTCAGTTGAGAGATATTTGTGCAAATGCCCCTGTATCTGGTGTTCTGTGTAGTCAAGGAAATACTGTATATACTGTACACTGAAACGTTCTGAGCACTCCTGAGAAACATTCTCCATTAGATGTCACTGCTACTCTGCATTATAGGAACAGTATAGGAAAGTGCAGATAGAAGTGATTTAATATTTCTGAAAATGCTAAATATCCCCATGCCCCACAATCATGTTGTGATTGTGCAACCCAATAAAGACTTAGTAGCTACAGTGCTCAGCAGCCGTGAAATTAATCAGCCTGTTTTTTTAAAACAGGGAATTAGAACCTACACCTGTTTTAGAGGCAATTAGAAGCTGCAATTCATCAATGGCAAATAATACCACTGATCAAACTGGGTTGTTTTTTTACCTGCATGTCATGAAAAGGGGGAGAGCAGATCTGAGTTCTAAGAGCAATATATATATTTTTGTGTTTTGGCCGACCTCAGACAGAAACAGAATACATCTTTTTAGGACACTCAGCGTGGTGAGGTCCAGGTGTGCAGGCGTCCCCCGTCTCTCACCTCGTGATCCTCCGTGGCTCCATAAAACTGGGCGAGTCGCGCCTCCTCTTCCTGATGGGGGAGTAGCTTCTGGACCGCCGGCGAGCTCGGCTCTCGGTGTCCGTGTGATGACTTCGGCCCTCGCTATCTTTCTCTCTGCGGCGAACAAACAGATGGAAATAACGTAGGCCCCTAGCCTTCAGCACCACCCCATAACCTGCTCCTGGGCTTTTGTCACGTGACATTTTGTGTCCTAAATGCAGGAAAATGAGAGGCCTTCAAAGAAGAGACCTAGTCTGAAATGATCTACAATAATTTATTACCTGATTGGACAAGAAATATAAAGTAATAATGTATGTGAAATCTGTCAGTTGTATAATTCAATTAAACATAGTTCCTTCACGAAAACAGACAGCGTCCCTGTTGTTCAAATTCATATATTGCTGACTAGAAAGAGTGTGTGAAATTACGGATCTTGGAATTCACATTCTCTGTGTGGGTGTGTAAATATATTCTCACACCTTGTCTTAAATGCACTTTTATGCTAATACAAGACACTAACAGTGAGACAATGCCTGGGTTATAAAAAATGACCTTGGAAATACTTGTGTTTCAGAGCAGGTAAAGATATGAACCTGAATTGTCTTGATCCTTATAGAAAATAATAGTATTTGCGCCTTTTCCCAGTTTGGGAAGTCATTACCAACAGCATATACAGAAAGGACTGATTAACTTATCTGCTTTTTATGTTTGCAGGGCTTCTCTAACATGTGAGAGGTTGGTACCCCTGGAGCAGTAAATGCCCAACCTGTGTTGAGCTATGTTTTGAGACACGTGCGTCTCTGCGTGTGCCCTGCGTGTGCCCTGCGTGTGCCCTGCGCGTGCCCTGCGTGTGCCCTGCGCGTGCCCTGCGTGTGCCCTACGGAGGACTGGTGTCCTGTCCAGGCCGTACCCTGCCTTGTGCCCTCTGCTTGCTCCCTGGCTGGCCTGGCGTGGCGAGACGATGGCTCCCGGGGGGCTCACCTGGAGGTGTTCTGCCGGGAGTGCGGAGACGGGGTCCGGCTGCGGCCCGGCCGGGTCCGCGAGCGGGAGCGGGAGCCCGAGCGGCTGCTGCCCCAGGAGCTGCTCCGCTGGCGCAGGCTGCGCG